CTGTAGGCCAACTTAACACATTTCTGGCACTGACATATATGTGAATGATGTTAATCTGTGACTGCAGGGGTTCGTTGTTATTCTTTTGTTTATTTCAGCCTTATTTTTAAAATGAAAAAAATAATTACACTAATTAAACAGAAAGAAACAGGTGAGGTTAGAATGTCTTATTAACAAACACATCAGCTCCAGAGAACCTTGGTTCTTAGAATTAAAACTGCAGTATAATTTGCCTGACTTTACGGTATGTACATTGAATGCCAGAGGTTGTGAGCCACAGGCCTTGGCATCTCATTTACTGCCACAGGAGAAACTGAAGAGTCCCAACTTGCCAAAAGACGCGTTTTCAACATTGTGCTCCTAGGGATGATTTAAAAAAAATCATTCCTGTCATTGTGGAAATGGCAGTGTGTCAGGCAAAACAGGTTAAGAACTTGAAGTGAATAATATAAAGGTGGCACTGGTGTTTACTGAGGAGAATCAACAAAGCCTTTAATCATACATTACGTGTTTACTTTGAGATCTTTCCTCACACCCAAGACTTAAATGCATTAAAAGTGTGTTTAATCCATTAAAAGTGTGTTTTAAAGCAACACACTTTAAAAGAAACTTCTTTTGCTTAAGCTCCCATGTCAAGTGTTGTGATGATATTTAGAAGGGAAGTTATATCATTTGTGCTGATGTGGTAACCAAAAGAAAGCAGGGATCCTAAGTAATCTTTTGATCTAGGGAGGTTGCATTGTAGTAGGGGGAACTGAAATATTTACATGTTTGAGGTGTGATAAAATATTAAACATACACTTTGAAAAATACACACCTGTCCCATGTATGTCTTTTTAGAACCCTGTGCCATTCTATTCTGCTGATGTTCTTGGGGAGTTTTTAAAACAAATGTGCTTAATTTGAATTAGTAGCTTTAAAAACAGTTAAAATGCACAAAAACAAGCAGACAATAAGAAGGGCCAGACAGGATGAAACCTATAACTTCTGAGTATTAGTCAGGTAATTGAGGAATTGTTGTGCTGCCATTGTTTATACAGTATGCAATTTTATTTTTAAAGATCGCGTACAGCATGCAAAGGAGGGCAAGGCAATATGCTCAGACCAGGAGGTATGTGAAGTGGAACTGTAGAATCTATAGAAGAGGTTTCTATTATCTAGTTTCTTATTTCATACATACAGGAAAGCTATTGAAACCAATCCACCTAAACAGCCAACATACATCGCATTTGTTCCTTTTCAAACCAAACAGCAAAACTGCGCCATTTATATTAAAGGTTATAGCTTCTTTGATTTTGATGTGGGCAATTTAACAAGTAGGCCATAAACATTCCCTTTCTGTTGAGGAGACTGTTAGCTCTTATTTTTCTTGCAATTACTTGGAAAGTACTATGCAAGAAAGCTACATATGTAAGCCAGCTGCCAGGTTTCACAATGAAATATTTACTTCTCTGTTTATGCACTATTACTTAAATTGTGAAATTGGGGATTTTAAAATATAAATGAAGTGAATATTTGTCTTTCTTCTTTTGACACTTGCTTGCCTTATATAAATATAATATTAAAATGTTCTACTGAATGATGAAGTAATAAGGATATAGTTTTTTATAGCTGTTGTGCTTTGGGAGAAGTGTAAAATTACACCAGATGGGCTCTGTCAAAATTATAGTAGAAAGAGATTAAATTTCTCATCTTCTCTTTCATAGTTTCAGAGTGCATTTAGAAGTGTGTCGTTTGTGTATTATAAAACGTCACAGGCTATAATATACACTCAATATCTAAAGAATTGTTCAAGAACTTATTTTTGGAAAATAAAGTATATAGATTTTGGATAGTGATTAATTTTGTTCTGCATCATTTTGTTTAATTGACCACTCATGATTAATGTAAGACTTTGCCTAGGCACTAAACCACCTCATTAGCAAGAGATTTGAGGTGATTTAACCTGTTTAGTTTGTGCTGTTGGTATGTCAGAGTCTAGATTAAGTTCAATGTCTCTTAGTGTTCACAACCCACCATGTCTTACCTGGATAGATGTTACAGTCAAACACAGTCTATTGATCAGGTCCTGGGATCTTACTTGTAGCTCTTACTGTGGACTATACTGTATGTACTGTAGATTTACATGTCCTCCTGCTATTCATATAACAATGGTTCCCTTGAGATGCAATATCATATTGTCACAGCTATCTTTTTATTGCCCTATTCTGCAGACATGATCCCCATTGAGCATTTGTGAGATGAGCTGGGATGGCATGTGCCATCTAAGACTCAAACCAGTGAATATGTACATGCACATCTAGGCTCTATGAGAGAATGAGTCCCACAAAACAGCATCTCCAACCTAGTTCAAAGCTTGAGCCCCAGGTGAACAGCTCATATTACTTTCACAAATGCTACTAGCTTTATTCTAATACTCAATTTAACTGTCCCCTTTCTGCATCAGGAAAAGCGACAGGTCTCATGAATAACAAAAACGTAAGGCAAATCTTCAGTACACAGGGTAAAGGTCTCAGTAGAACACAGATTTTCATCTTGATCCCTACCAAGCCTGGGGATGTCATACTCAGTGACATGCCCTACGGCATCTGAGACAGGATGCGGTCTCCAGTCCCTGACCCACCTACCAGCAGACTCAAGGCAGTAATCCCAGCCATTGGTGCAAAGGGTTCGAGGTTCTTCAAAGCAATCATCTGTAATCTGTTCCAAATCTTCCTGAAATATGTTGGAATGTCAAAGGTACATGGAATAAGAATATCAAAGACAGCATGACAGCCTCAGGAAACCATCTGCAAAACATTTTCATTAAAATGACACTTTTGAAGGTCATTTCTCAATGCAGTAGTGAATTGGAATAAAGGTTTGTGATGTGGCTCTCTTTGAACAAGAGGCTGTGTGCCTTCACCACCAGTCTCCAGGTATTCCCACACCTTTTCAATCATCCTCACACGTCACCTATTATGCATATACCCATCATTTTTCACAATTTTACAGTTTAGGAACAATTGTATTGAAAACTGCTATTTCACAGCACCTTAAATAAGGCACTCCCTGACCAGTATGAATGATGGTGCACTCTTAATTTTACTGTACAAAATGGCTGTACTTTGCTTTGATTTTTCCCCCCCAAGAGAAAACAGCATCCCTTACTAGACTGGCACCAGCCTATGTTCTTGTGACCTTTGGGTGTTTATGAATCACCTTTAAAGTAATAAAACGTGCTCCATTTGTTCCAGCTTTAGTTATTTTCCCTGGATCACTGCCTACAAGAAATATTAATAGCTATTTTAATCAAAAGAATTGCCTATCCAAGCTTAGATCCTGCCAGCGTGTGGTATAAATGGTCACATATAGAAAATACTAACCCGTACAGCTGTTTTTCATTTATGTTAAAGAAAATGGATTTAAAGGAACTAAGATTTCCATTGTCATATTTATAAATTACAAAAGCCAAGGCCAAATTATTCCACTGTACACAAAACAAATTCTTCCAGTTTCTATTTTTAGAATTGGCTTGAAAATGATACCCTGTTGGTGGAATATAAAGATGAAACTGGAATTCAGTTCTGGTGATACTAAATATCAGTGCAAAAAGAACAGTTCCATAGGACTCCAGCTGCAGGTGTTTTTCCAGTAAACCAAATACTTAGGCCCCTCTGAAGTTGTCAACCACAAGCCAAATTCATAGCCTGAGCAAAGGTTAAGATGTTTCAGAACGTTTCCCCTTCCATCAACAGGGATGCAGTAACCGAGGTGATTAGTTTGCTATATGGGGTAAGACAACCCCCACAGATGTGCTCTATGGATTTCTAACCTTCTGGAACATAAGGAGAATGTTCCAAGGATAGGTTTTACAATGAAGGATGTTCTCCAGTTGGTTAGCCTCTAGATTCACTCCAATAAGAGGTAGTTGCCCAAAACACCTCAGAGAGACAAGTTGAAGTAAAGGTTTCCTCCAGTTGATAAATCTTAATAGATGAGAAATAAGGGGTATGGTTCTAAATTCAACACAGGAAGGCATTTAAAAAAAAAAAACACACTTTACAGTAATAGAAAGAAAAGGTTTCACTATGAACACCAAACAAAACTGAAATCAGGAGTAATTGCCAGTTGGGTGAAGAGATGTGGCTGGTTCAAAATGGATAAAGTGCAACAGCCTTAGTTCTGGCCTCAAGTGGTAGCCCTAAATAAATGCACACAACTCAACAGGAATCTGAACGATGAGTTTAAGATAGTAATTTGGCCTGGCCAGACTGTCAATTGTAATAGCAGCAAGTACCAAGACTGTCTTTTGCAAACTCCTTTGAGCCCAAAAGGAAAAAAACTGAACCCAAAATTTAGACTACACACAGGATAAAACAAAGTCTAAGGACAGATGAAGGATGTTAAGCTGCTGCATAAGGAAGCAGAATATGGTAGTCTAGAATAACACTTAGGAGAAAGCTCATGGAGGAGCAGGATAAAGGGAAACCACAGAAATCCTACTGCCAAGCTAGGAAAAATTCACATTTGATGCAAGGAGTGGAGGCACTCAGAACAGTATATACTGCTTGAGGGGCAATGGTGGCAACTTTCAACAAGTGCCATGTTTTTTTAAAGTCAGAAAAAAAAAAATGTTCCCTAAGCAAATGGCAAGGTAAAGGTCCTTTAACATTGTACAGCATGTACTGTACTACACAAAAACCCAGCACAGTATGCAAAGACTACTGAAGCATACCCATTTACCATAGCCTCCCTAAAATATATTTCCTTTTCAAGTCTTCACAGCAAAGGACCTGAATCATATCATAGAATTGTAACCCTAAGCACCCTAAGAAATTAGAATGTCTACCAATGCATCAGGATGATTGAAGACCTCTATCCTGAGGCCTATAAAGTTCACATCCAACTTGCACTACTTGGTCAGCCTTTTGCCCAAAAGGAAAAGGCCTCCTAATCAGTAATTCAGCTTTGCCAGCTTCCAAGCATTAACACATGCCAAACATTAATAAGCAAGAGACTTAAAGATGGAAATAAAAGTTTATTTGTCCATTTCATGGAAGCAGTTACAGAAGACTCATATGGTCACAAGAGGAAATCCAGCCTAAAAAAAGGGGGAAAAAAAAAAATTAAGGTATAACTTGATTAAATCAACTCGTCACCAAAACACAGCCAACTTACATACCTTATACTAGTAAAGAATTGAGGCCAGTTTATTGGAGTTCAACAGGACCAGATGACACAAGTGTTCTGCGTTTCTGGTCTACACTACGACCTAGAGAGAACAGCAAGTTAAAAAAAAGCACAAGATGCAGTTCATGACCAAAGCAGTTGAGTAAGGGGGAATCACCTAGTCTTTGCTTTCCAGGAACGCACTGTCCTTTGCACAAACTGTCTAGTGGCTGGTTTGCATCACATATGAAGACACTGCAGTGGAAGAAAATCTGAAAAACAAGAAAAAAAATCAGAACAGCACCCATTTTGGAGTTCAAAATGAAAGTGGTGAATCATCCCTTACAGGTAGTTTCAACACAGCCCCATCTTTCACAAAGGAAAACATTTTCACTTCAAATCTCTTTAGGTGGGAGGGGTATGTTACTCTCTGGTCACTAGATACAGGATGGAAGACAGTTGTGTTTGGATCTGCAGAGTTCTCACAGCTAGGGAAAGAAAAAAATACTTCAGTGACATACCAGAATATGGCATATTAAAATGCTTTGCAATATTGGGTACTTCCACACCTGTCAATAATAACATCCCATCCAGGAGAGCTGTCCATATCAGAAGAAGCAGTAGCCCAGCAGTTTTCCAGAAATAATTCAACTTGTGGATCTTTACTGTACAATAGCTCCACCTCAAAGTATAATGGTTCACTCAAATACTTCACTACTGGATAGTCAGGCACTCCATAGAAGTTGACATAGGAAACATCTGCAAAGAAAACCAAAATGCTTAGAAAAAAAAAAGCAAAAAAAGAAAATTAAGTTACTGCTTTAAGGACCTACCAAGTGCAAGCCTCATGACAACTGTAAAGTTACCCAAGCCTGGCTCAGCAACAGGCCCAGGGTTACCCATGGACTCAAAGTAGACAGTCCTGCTATCATTTATACGATAGTGACAGACCACACCAAATCTGCAAAACAAGTTCAAACCATTAGCATCTGTGCTTATGTATAATGGGAGTTCAGACAAAGTTAGCACTTACCTGTAAGATGTTCTTGAGGAGGTCCATAAAATTTCATTCTCATAAGTCATGATGTTATTGTTAAACTAGAACAAAAGACACATAATTAAGGACTGTCCACAGAAAAGGGTGGGTTACAATCAGGAAACCACTTACCTGTCGAGTTGTTTGGCAAGAGTTGGCATTAAAATAGAACACTGCTGTACCAGCACCAGACTGAGCAGGTCTGCAGCTTGGGTCCCTGAGGGTGAGCTGGCTAGGCATCATGTCGGGTACAGACTCCAGCTTCACTGCCAGGGCGGCCATGGATCCATTGGAAAAGCATTCTGAAAATAGACCAGTTAATTAGAACTTTATATATAAAAATAAAAAAAGGAAAACAAATCAATAAAAGGGTGATTACCAATCATTTTTAGTGGAAAGCTGCATGAGAGCGAGAAGTTTGCATAGACCCAAGATTTCTCAGTATCCTCCAGAGTTAAGTCCAGTCGAGTACGGATTTCTGAAGACCTAATTAACTACAGAAAGAAAATTGTTACTAGCCATTAAGATGTTCATGGGGAGGAAGGCAAAAAAAAAAAATACACAACTTACTTCATAGGCTACATCAGGAGAGTTAAATGGGACAGTTAACCCAGAATGGGTTGCATTCTCCCAATAAGCATATTCAGCAGCCATTGAAGAGGTGAGGGATCTCTTGCCCACAATGAGTACCCAGTTTTTTCCCAGATTCCCATTTGTTATTACAACAACAAAGGAGATCAGGCTGCAGTATCCAGTTACAGAAGGTGGAACTGGAAATAAAAAAAAAAAAGGGTTAGTATGGTTTTTTAAAAAAAAAAAAACAAACTCATCAAAACAGTGAGCTACTTACCAACATCCTTTAAAATGGCTTCAACTTCAGCTGGGTATGTAAAAGACTCATTTTCAGGCAGCACCACCAAGGTATATACCAGAGGTAGAGTGTACTTTCTAGTGTCAGGAGAAAGCAGCTACAGGGAGAAGAAAGTAGTAAGGATCTCTCCACAGGATTAAAAAAAAAAAAAAAGTAGATTGTGGGGGGGGGGGGGGGGGGAGGAATAAAACTCACCTCCACCAGTACATTAGGGTCTTCAAATGGCACTTGCAGAGTGTAGGTCAAAGAACCATTGGGAAAGGTATGCTCTTGAACATTATAGCCTCGCTGGTTGGCCTCTGGTACAGTCAGTGGTCCCGTGTAGAAGGAAATTTGCACCAGCTCCACATCAGGCAAGAATGTGCCCAGTGTTACATTGAACACCCTTTCATCAGGAATAGTGTCTAATGAAAAACAATAGTTACTAAACAAGTCACAGGTCAGTTCAAGAAAGGGCACATTTTCCTTCCCACTTACTGTTGATAACATGTGGAGGCCTTGGCATGAATGGCGTAGTTATGGGATGAAGGATAGTGTACTTTGTTTTATCAAGGGTATCATCTTGCCAGGAGTGTTCCAGGAAAGGATCAATAGAGTAAGTAATACCATATACATTGGACTTCACATGACTCTGAAATAAGGAAACAGAATGAAAGCATGGAGGAAAAAAAAAAAGCACAAAAAAAATCCAGTCATTCATGCACAAGCAACATTTGTACCTTATATTGTCCTCCAATAGCCCCTACTGGAAATGTAGCCATGATCAAGTTGGGTCCCACATCTAAAGTGTAGTTCCGGTCATTAATTGTTGAAGGGGACAGTTTGTCACCATTCACTCCCAACACAATATCAAGGTCCTTGATAGGTGTAGTTGGAACAAGGGGGGGTAGAATGCGTGGGATGTTCCAGGTAATCAGCTCTTCAGTAAACATGGTGCCATCTGAGAAGTTATATGTAGCAGTTACCATACAATCCAAATATGGAGTTGGGCATATGATATTTAAGGGCATCTTTACTCACCAATAGGACAGGCAACTGCAGTGTCTACCATCATGATCAGCCATTTCTGTTTGTAGAAAGTAGTGGACCGGATCACAGACATTGGAACACCTTGGATCTATAAAAATGGGAACCGTTAGGGACTGTGCACCAGGAATGTCAGATATAATGAATGCTTGAGCCAATACATACAGTCTGCTGCTGGCTTTCTGAAGAGTTGTAGGCTGCTCGCAACACAATCCTGGTATGCGTGGTGTTGATGCTGTAGCCTGCCTTCATAGCTTGAGAAACAGTCATGGATTTCTTTTCAGCAAGATAAAAGACCACTTGCCAGACATCATTTTCAGCAACAATTGCCTGGAGAATAAAGGTGGGGAGAAAAGGGTCAAAGGAAGCTCCAGTTTTGATTCTAAGGATCTCGAAGCAAATAAAAAAAAAAGCTTACCTCAGGTACAGCCAAAGACCAGTCATCAGGCTCATCCTGAACAAACTCTGGATCAATGAGTGGTATTCCCCTCCTGACAGATACCTGTGGGTCACAATTCAAAGCACATAGTAAGCCCAACATCAGATTAAGGCAAACCCACTGACCACGAACCCAGCTTTGAAGGATACAAGTATGGTATTCTACCTGCACATTCCCCTAACTGCATTAGAGATTTAGTTAGGCTTTTGGCCCACAATTCAAGTACGAGTTGTTTCTCTTTCTACTTATTCCTTAGGCTTGGTAAAAGTGCACAACCCATGCCCCCCCTCATAGAGCCCTGGCGAAATCAAACCCAATTCATTAGCTGAATAGCAGAATACTGGTTTATCCTTACCTCCATATAGTTTCTTTCACACAAGATTTCCCTTGCTGCCCATGGAAAATAGTCACATGTAAGGCTCTGGATGTATTTGGTGGGGAAAGATAGACCCCCATTTGAAGATACCCTTATTTGTACAGTGAGGGTGAAGGACTCATCCTTCTACAAGGAGGAAGGAAAAGAGCAGGTTAGTATTACACTAAATTTAAAAAAAAAAAAAACAGGGTAGCAGGAAGGTACTTACAGTATTTTTGGCAAAGCAGCTCAGCACAGAAGCAATGAATTGGACATTTCCCCAGAAGTCAATGGTTATGCTATATCCACACTGAGTTGCTAGTTTTGGTGAAATTGGTATGAATTGTCCAGATGAGTCTAAAAAAAAAAAGGAATTGTTCAAGCTACTACAGAATAAGCAGGGGTTTAAGTACACAAGTTTTGGAAGCATTTTGTATTTTTTCAGGGAGGAATGATAGTTATCAGAAAATACACTTTACCCATTACATCGAATTCGAGATGCTTCCCCCAAAAAATAGACCCGTCTCCCTCCATCACCATTACATTCCCTTGACATCTGGTCTTCATGGGCCCTATAAATCATTAAATCAGCGTCAGAACACGCAAAAGCGCAGATACCAATGTTAGCACACAAGATACACGAGCACTTACCTGGGCTTTGCGTCCAAACCTCCGTTAACAGTGCTAGAATTAACGTAACGCTAAAAGACAAAACAGAAAGGTAGTTAAAAAGACAACCGATAAAAACTCAAGACAGCCCACATCACAACCATAATTTACCCAATCCGTAGGTAACACATCCTGAAATCCAGAAGCATCGAGTCGAGAACCAAAGGTTGTTTTCCACAGTAGAAACCAAAAGAAAACTGAACAATCTGATGAGCTTAACTGCTGACTCTACCCTGCGGGTTTATAAAGCATGAAGGTCTCAGCTAATATCAATTGAGAATCCACAGCATCACAGCTGTTTCACATTTGGACAAATAGTTTCTCATTACTGTTATCAAAAGCGTGTCTCTTCATTAATTGGATTACCCATCCTAGACGTTTCTAGTTTTCTAAACGAAACGTATTTCAAATTGTATTAGTTAATTGATGTTTTTTATTATGAATGAAAACGGTCAGAATTCATTTGTAATTGAAACAAATCACAATCCTCTCATCACGATACGATGTTGTCCAACAACTGCTTTGTTGTTGTCATGATGACGATTATTATTATTATTATTAGTGCATGCGCTTTTTAAAGAAATCAGATCATAACCAATTAAACTGGGCATGAGATCGCTGCTACTAGTACAGTAAATGAACGAAATACATATCTTATATATTAAATTATGTTTGATTTTTCACCCGTTTTTTAAAACTCCAGATGCTTTTTTTATTTTTGAGTAAAACAGTGGATTAACATTACCAGTGCCAATGCGCACGCTGAAATCCCCGATCACGTTTCCACGAAATATATTACAGTATGTAAAATATTTACAGTATGTTCAGATATATGACTTCTAGACATATTGTAGTATAATTTCGATGACTCCCTCTAGACTGATTCCTGCCCTGCTAGATCCCAATTTGTTATTGCTAACCAGACCCACGTATATCTGGTATTGTAAAAGATCCTGCAATTCAGCTATGCTATATGTACTTGTCTGCATTTCTAAATTAGGCCTTTCTTACTCTTACAGTACCTTGATATTGAGTGAAACCCTTCTTCATCAAGTACGGGGTTTGTGACCACAAACTTTATTTTCTGGCCTGAAGACCTCTGCATTTTCTATGAAAGTCCTGTACTTTCAGAATTTGGCAGGAACTACTGTACAAAGTGCCATTCTCAAGATATTTACTTTTTAAATTAACATTTTGTTTGACGTTCAAGACGTGTTTGATACGTGGTGCTTATGTTTCCAGTGCTTGCTTATTTGATCATTTGGGGAACAAGCAGACATTGTTTCAGGTTTGGGGATTTTCTTTTCTGTTTAATCAGGAGAATGAAGGAGAGCAGTAATGTTAGCTTTACTATTTAAATGTTGACACACATTCATCCATTTTGTTACTTTAATTAATACGTGACACTTCAGGTTGTGACAGCTCTTCTTTCAACTGTTACCTGGGTGTGTAACAGGTTCCATCAGGAGGTCAAGGCTAGGTCATTACTCTTGTAACATTGTTACAGTACACCTATAATATGTAGTTTCTGTGTGGGAGGGCAGACTTATGTCCTTACTTTTGTAACACTGTTACATCTGGAATGTGTGTGTAACAGGCTCCATCAGAGGTCAACGTTGGTTATTACTCCTCTAACCCTATAACATCTAGTATTTGTGTGCAATGGGTTCCTTCAGGGGTCAAAGCTAGGTCATTACCCCTCTAACACTATAACATCTAGGGTATGTGGGTGTGGATCAGGTTTCTTGGAGAAGGAATATACAGTATACAATATCATTACCCCAGGCACACTCTTAACTTTGATCACTTACTGGTTTCCTTTGCTACTAGCTATAAGGTACTGCACCAGATTTGATGAAGTCTCCAATTGTGTCAATTCTCCTAATTAGCAGACACTAGGATCTTACTCTACAGACTATTCACCCTGCAAGGATGTTTCTGATCCTCTCGTCCTAGAATCCTTAGTCATCACCTCAATGTGTAACAGTTTCATCTATTTATCTGTATCTATACTCCACTGGAGATTTACCATTTGATGTATCCATTTTGGGGATTCACGATGGTGTAGTGATTAGCATGGCTCCCTTTCAGTGCTAGGGCTCTCAGTTCAATTCCAGACCTGGAGTGGTGTCTGCATGGAGTTTGTGTGTTCTTTCCATGTTCGCATGGGATTTCGCCAGGTGCTCCAGTTTTCTTCCACAGTCTAAAGACATACTGGTAAGTTAATTGGCTTTTTGGAACATTGGCTCTGGTGGGATTGTGTGTGTGTGTGTGTGTGTGTGTGTGTGATGGCCTGGCGTCCACTTTGGAATTGTGCTGCAAAGAAAGGGAAGCAGCTGATGGAAAGATTAGGCTTACAGCTGTAAAAAAAAGTGATTCAGAGATGTGTTGGTTCGAACAGCCACTATGTCCAATACAGCTCCTAACTGGAGCATAATGAGGAAAACACAAATGGGGATTCTGATGTTTTACTCAATTTTTAGTTCTAATCTGTTTGTCTTTTAACCAATATTTTAATGAGGTAAGCTAACAGAACCTTTTGAAAATAAACTATATTGTACTAGTGTAACAAAAAGTAACAGCCAAATGCTTCAAGAAATGTTAAATGTTAAACGTTCGCATCATCTATTAAAACTCTACTGCTTCAATTAAGTACTAACCACCAGGTCAGCAAGGATTAAAAAATAATTGTTCTTATAGTAATGAATGTCACACTAAATCATCAGCATGAGATTTGTAATCAGGGGAAAAAGAAAAAAGGTAGAGAAACCATTTTCACACGCAAAGTTTATTCATGCCAGAATCATACCTACCTGATATGAGTCCTACTGTGTAGGCATGATGCATACTTGAACATAACAGTGCAGACCAGGAATCTTGTGAGAATCTTGATGGCTCTGCAGGTTTTCAATTTGACTCAGCTCTTTAACAGTCTAATTCTGCTCATTACATAAGCTAGTTATTAGTTCAGTTAACTGGACAACATTGTGCCTGGGAAAAAATATTTTCAGATCTCTGAATTCAAAAACCTAATAATAAAGTGAGGAAAAATACTTAATACCTTAATACTTAAACAAAAAGTATGCAAATAGTTTTAAAAACACTTTTTTTACAAAATAACACATTTATTGTTTTTTTTTTCCTCCAAAAGTAAGAAAGAAAAGTTATCATAACTAATTTTAACAAATATGTCAGATTGGTTTTGGTGTGAATGTTACTGTTGCACTACAGCAGAGAAATCTAAGAATAATCTTCTATCCAATTGTTGTATTGTACAATCAAAGCTAGACTTCATCCAGTAAAGTTCTTCACACAGAAGACTTAGTGGAGCTAGAAAAACCTTGTGGGTTATAACATAATGAAGGAAACAACAGGCACTCAAACTCAAAGGCTCTCTAACTCAAACCATTCCAGAGCCTTAAAGCGAGGAAAGCTCAACATGTACCTTACTGGCAAGATGTGGAATTCCTTCTAACTTTCGGAAAAACTCTTTCAAATTCAACATCTTACTTCTCTCAGTTAGAAAGGTGAAGTTCTTTCCTATTCCTATTCTTTAATTCAAGTTGTTTAAAAAGGAAAACTACTGTATGTTTCTGTTTGTCTTCACACACTGTAGTTGTCACAGGGTAGCAGGCTGACATTTGTGTACAAGTCCATTGCAAGCAGCCATACAGACACAAACACACCAGGACACATTTTCCCGGAATCCAATGAATGTATTGGAATGTATTCGAACTGTGGGAAGGAAACCCATGAAAACATGGGGACAAAATACAAACTCCACACAGGTAGTACCAGAGGAATTTAACCCAGGTCCTCAGTGCTGAGAAGTAGCAATGTTCATCACTGCACCACCGTGTCACCCAAATGCTAAAATCATCTGTTAAAATCATCATGCCAAAGTAAAACCTTGCAAGTTTCCTTTCTTCAAGTTTTACAAATCCAAATAGTCAACACGATTTCTGTTTTTCAGAAGTGGTACAGTTGCTATGGTTGAAGTAGGTCAGGAATAGTCAGAAATGTGAGTTATTCGGATTTGTGCTGTGTGTTGAAACACACATATAAGGTATCTTGGTTTTAGCACAAAGGGTATTACTGAACAAATAGTAATATAAAAATAAGACTATAGTGATACATTTGGTCATTGTTTATCTTTCATGGTCCTTAAATCCAAAGATTATGATCAGGCCAAAACAGGATCACACTGGCAGTCTGAGCAGGTCTCACAATATATTAAATCGTGTAATGGGCAGTCTAGTCACAGTGAGCTCTCTTCGGCACTCTCAGCTCAATTCCTCATTTTGACATCACTTTGATCTCAAAGTGTCGGGCTCTTTTCCAGATGGGCTCCCTCTATTTGAACCAGTCAAGGGCAACAGGAGGGCTACCAAGAGGTGGTATCAATGTTGCATTTCTTCAGGTTTGCTTTCACCGTCTCATTGAAATGCTTCTGCTGCCTTCCTCTGGTGCGTCTGCCTTGACAATGCTGGAAGAAGACAGGCTCATAAAAGAGAACCGAGTATCACCTCCAGGTGACAGGACCAAACAAACAGAGCAAATGGTGGATGTTGTATTTTAATAACTGAAACACAGGCCTGTTATTATTAGACAACAGTTACAATTAATTCGCATTCATTTTTGTGGTTTGCAAATGGCATGTGTTCGATTCCAGCCTGGGGTGGTGTTTTTAAATGCTTCCTCTGTGCCCCTGTGGATTTTTGTGGGGTGCTAACGCTTTCACCACAATCCAAAGACATGCTTTCCGGGTTAACTGGTGTCTTTAGATTGCCTCCTGTATGTACACGCCATTTATTTCCACCACACACTGTTACAGCGCGGATTCAGCTGCGTGTGAAAGAATGAAATTAAACAGCAACGAATACAGTTCATCCTTAGCAACTTTGCTGTTAAAGATGTTAGTGGAAATGTCATCAAAAGTGACCTCCCTTATACACACCCCAAAGTCGTAGAGTTTTGCCAGACACTGGTGAACTAAGTCTTTTAAAGCATCTCCTGACAAGTTATTGCTTAATGAGTACGCAAGGGGCAATTTCAAGTTTCCATTTACAGTGACCAGCAGGAAAACCAAAGCTTCACTTGCAGCAGAGTCCTTGGGGGTACCCCCCAATGGGTCCCCCAACTCAAAATCTTCCTCATTAGAGCTGTCCCAGTCCAGATCTGCCTGAACAGTCCCACCATTGATGCGGAGGTAAAACTCTGTGTCCTGCAGGGAGTACCCGCTGAGCCACTTGAAGAGTTCCTCTTTGAAAGGATGGCCAGCTGACACATCTGCCCACTCCCTCAGCACACTGGGGTGGGGCAGATCCAGGTGCTGTTCTACATATTTGTAAGCCTCTGGGGCATGTAAGTGCAAGGTGAGGCAAAAGTGCCTGGACTCAAAGCTGTAGTAGCGGCGGTGAAGGGTCCTGGATTGAATCCTCATTTCTTTCTTTAGGGCTTTTAAATCCATGCCACCCAGGGTGCTATCTATAACATCTGAAGCCAAACCAGACGGTACGAGTTTCTTTCTCTTCAGGCACGTCATCAAGTCTCTCATCTCCGCCCAGCGCATGCCCAGCCTGCGCTCCCGCTGCTGGCTGGCTTTCAGCTTCTTCCTGGCTGCCTCCAGCTGCTCCTTGAGGTCTGAGATCTTCTCTTTGGCCGCCGAGAGGCTGACCAGACAGTAGCTGTGGTCTTCGTACACATTGACAGGCTGGGCTGGCTGCTCAAGAGGGGTGGAGATGGGGGCCAGTGCTTTTCTGCTGGTGGCAGTCTCCCGAGGACTGGACGCCTACAAGAGAGAATCAACAGGAAGGTAGCAGTGTTAGGAAAAGAACAGGGACTGTTTAGCAATGTTGAAAGAATCATATTTTCTCTAAGTGTTTACACAGGTTACTGTTTTTTCTTACACCTTTCTTACTCTTTTTCTGCTCTTTCTTTTTGGCTGATTTTAGGACAGTTTGAAGATACCACTTTTGTCACATTATGATGCCATTAGTAATGAGAGAAAGTCCAATTTAATCCTTGAAGCAAAACTGAGTATCACATACATGCTCCTTGCTAGCATTCTGGTTTTGGAACCAAGCTTCAGTAAAGTACATTGTACTCCAGTATACTCATATTTACTGGGGGTGTAAAAAAATATCTTGACTCGGTTGGATAAAAACAAAACCAAAAATAAAAATCAGCTTGATTGTACTCGTCAACTAGGGCAATAAAATCATGTCTGATACTGTAGTATTTTCTAAGAATTAGCTCTAAATATTAGCTTTCGGGAATCGTATACTGAATCAACAAACAAAAGATTACCAACTTTACCTTTTTGTGTTTCTGTCCTGGGAAATCAAAGATTGTGGGCACAGCATCTTCTCTCAACCTCACAGTTTGGCCCGTTCGGTCAAAGCATGATGCCTCGAAGTGATTGGAGCAGAGAAATGTGTAAAGAGAAGGAATGAAATCAGCCCTCCTGACATGTCGAATCCATGCAGTCCTCCTCTCCTTGTTCAATGGGAATCTGGGTGGTTAAGAAAACATTTGCAAAAATGTTGTGTTAATCCAACAGGCTCGAGTCAGCAACCCATACTAACCCATTTTGAGTTATACAATGCTTTCCAAACCTAAAATGATTTTTTTTAAATATGATACTCTACAAAATTCAGGGAGCAGGATGACAACAAAATATTCAGTAATTACACCATTTGAGGTTAAACAGAGAATCACTTGGTCTGAGAGATTTTTTTTCAGCAGTGTCAGATGGGTTATTAAAAATGTGATATAATTAGTATTGTTGACATTTACACACATGGGAATCACAATATTTATATTACTCTGGATACAATTTCAATGTGGTATCTTTCTCTATAAACATTTATATGATCAAAAACAGTTAAACAGGTGACAGTGGTCAGCATAACTGCCTTACAGAGCTGGTGCCCTGGGTTCAATTCCTGGGGTGCTATCTGTGTAGAGTTTGTATGTTCTCCTCATGTTCATGTGGGTTTCCTCCCAATTCGAAAGAATTGCTGGTGGGAACAAAGATTCTGGGAAAACTGGCCCTGGCATATGTGTGTGTGTCTGTGTTTGCCCTGCGATGGACTGGCGTCCCACCCAGAATGTATCCTGCCTTGCACCTGCTGCATGCTGGGATAGGCTTGGCTGAAACGCATGCAGCCTAATAGCAAAGCACTTCATGGTTCGTGCCATGATTCAATTTAATTTAAAATAGCACAGTGCAACCCAAAGCATCTAAGTCAGCTCTATTTTCATAATCAGCTCGCAAAAGAAGAAAACCTACAACCTACAGCAGTTACTCAGCTCATAATATTTCAAGCACCAGCTTTGTTAGAACAAAGTAAACGTATCCTACCTGTGAAAACTCACACCGCAGTCCTTAGTCCTGATGTTAGTGCAGCCGTATGCAGCGCAACTCGTGGGCATACTCCAAACAGCAGAAAAGATAGCCAAATAATACCTTCTAATTCGGGATAGTGCTTCACCAAGATGACAGCCCACAGCTTCATACGAAGTTAACCAGCTCCCTTGCGTTATTTCCGTATTATTTCATAGAAACTTACCAAACCTTGCATATGCGCACTAAATGTTAATGTAGTGCTGCTAAAGATACTTCTTTATATATATTAGTATACAATGTTATTTTTTAGCTCAATAAACACTCTCAAACCACATATCTCAAGCAAAATCTTCATCTTTAAACGTCGACATTTCTGCGCTTGTCGCTTTCTTATGACGCCACAAAGCTTAAATTCTTATTGGTTTGTAGAACAGGCGACATGATGATAGGGCGACGATGTAAAGGAACTGTGTGCTTGTACATGTGGGTCTTCAGTGGTTTTACGGAAAGATGGGGAAAAGAAGGCAGAAGAATCAAATATTTAACAACTTATCCAAAAAACAGAAAAAACATCTGAAAGAATTTGGAGAGCAGCATCCATTTCACGATAAGTAAGAATAATTGTTTTTTTTTATATTTAAGCTTGTTAAACAGGACGGTTCAGGACCATGTGTTTTGTGTTTACTTAGCTGCTCTAGCCTGGATTTTCGTTGGTATTCGTTTTTTTTATGAAGTATATTACTTTTCGTACAGCTGCAGACGATCTAAACATTTTTGGTTTGATTTTTATTCTAGTGTAAATGAAAAGGTGGAAAAAACGCAGGTCGTGGAATTGGTGAGTTGAATTGATCAATTTATACTTAATACTTATTATCCATCAGTATTGTAGTTTGGTGCTTTGTATTTGCCATCCACACTTGCATACATACATTATAAACAAGCAGTTTATATTACGTATATCTCAAGGGTAGTAAGGTCTGGTCCTGGAGAGCCACGGTGCAGCAGATCTTATAAGACACCTCTACAAAAGAATACAAGTAAAGTCTGCACGGTGTTGGCATTTCATTGAAGTTGATCACTAACCAGTTTAATCACTGAGTGGTTAAACTGAAATTGTACTTGATGTTAAGAACATGATTATTTAAAGGTTTCCTACAAACCCTCCTGGACTGTGGTTCATCAGGTGTCACATGTATTCTCTTCTGTTCCTTGCAAAAGTAATCACACCCTTGTGCAGTTTACACACTTTGTTGCTTTAAAGCTTGTAGTCAAGACACTTTAAAGCAGCAATTCATATTTGTTTTGTACACAAATACAAACGCCATCATTAGCGAAAATCAAAAAGAAATAAATAGAAAATATGAAAGAAAATGGCAAAGTGATGCTTACATAAGAATTCATTCTGAATGTCCACATTCAGGTGTTTGAATTAAATTGTTAAAAAGTGTATGCATCATTTTACAATTTCACAAAATGAGAAATGATAAGAATAGTTTGAATACTTTTGTGAAGTTTGTATATAGGTGAAGATACCCACGGCTTGGAGTTGTTTTGGGGTATGCTCTCTATTTGTTAAATAGTCATGCTAAAATAACAGTGGTCTAAGAATACATCTTTCAGTATTCTGAGTAAAATCAATTTCATGGTCACTGTCATGTTTAATGCTTTTTCTTCTGTATTAACATAAACTGATTCAAAAATACATCTTGGAATTATTTTGAGAATTGATCCTCTTTTGTCTGCATATGCCGTCATTTTCCATGTATACACTGAGATAATGTTTGTTTTATACAGCTTACATGATGCATCATCTTAGGCTGCAAGGTTAAGGTATACTGTTTCTTAGGAGCATCTAACAATCTCCAGTTAAAAGACAATTGTAGAATAACTGCAGACATTCCAGTCAGCCACTGTGGTACCTAGATATATTAATTACCATGCTACAGTGCTTCTACTTTGACATTTTTATTCCAAATCTTCATGTGTAATTAATTGGGTGCCTCAAAAAAATAATAAAGGGGATTGTTTGAAGATTGGTCTCCAACAATATATTCCTTCGCACCTTTTTTGTTATGAAGTACATGAACACCATCTGTTTTATTATTGCATCGAACTTATTCACCTGGAATTTATCCAGTGTAATCTGGGGAGGCACCAAAGCCCCTCTGGAGAATGGACAGTAATTTAGGAGTGAGGAAACTTCCCTAGCATGTGAACTGCATCCATTTCAGCCCGAAAGTCCAGAGCAGTCCAGTGCAGAGAGCGATGTGGAGAGTGAGCCTGAGCAAGAGTCCGCTTATCAGAAGCTGCTGTCCACACTGAGCACGGCTGCTGAGGAAGCCGAGGAGAGCGAGGGAGAAGACAGTGAGGGTGAGGAGGAGGAAGAAGAAGAAGGAGACTCGGAGGATGAAGGTGAAGTTGAGGCAGAACCACTGTAGTCTTGTTTGCAACAGAACTTGTAAACTTTGAGCCAAGGTTTTTTTTTGTGTAGCAGCGACACTTTCAAAATGATGTGTCCTGCCTCATGCTGAAACCTGGAGCAGTTAAGCCTTATTTCTGCTGCTTTTTGTCAGGGACTGCTAAGCTTTCTAGGTTTCGGTAAGGAGGACTTCGTGGTGCCTAGTGATATGTTCTCAGCTGCGCCTAACATTTTCTTTCTGTGTATTCCATGTAAGAAAATGCAACTTAGACAAGGTGTGTTGTCTGTTTGGTACAGTGCAGTTTTATGAAAGCATGCCAGAGAGATCAAATTCCTTTGCCAGTTGTGATGGTGTAAAAGTAACACTTGGCCAAAGCAATAAGCTCAGGTGAGGCTGGAAACTAGCAATGAAAGAGCGATCTTAAAGACAAATCTGATGTATTTCTAGCAGAATTTGATCTTTTCTGGGTTCTTTTCAGAGGTTAGGTGTGACACAAGATATTTCTCTTTGTCAAGCTTTTATTCAGTCTCGGGGTCCCTAGAGTTTCTTGACTAGTTTTGTCAACAGTTTTCATTTAGTTCCTGTATTCTGTCGATAGAAAACAAATAAGCTTCACCAGCATTGTAAATATCACAAGAACAAGTAAATAGTGTCATTCAACAGGCTTTGTTTACTGTTTGGATTGATTGCACTAGTCCCAAGAGGTCTTCAGTTGTTCCTTCTACTGTTTGTGATTCACTGGCAATCAGATGTTGAAGACTAAAACCACTAAAAGCTTCTACTGAATATAAAATCAGTAATCTCTCTGAATGTTGCACCCTCTATTAATTTAATTAATTGAGTTCTTGTTTTATCCACAAATAATTGCTGAAATTTTCATTGTAGATTTGTTTTCATGCTTCTCTTAAATAGTTCAAAGTTAATAATATAAAAATGATTTTGCATTGATCTGTGTAGGTGCGGCTTATAATCAGTGATTTATAATCATAACGCTGGCTTCCAGGACTGGGAGTGCGAACGGCACCTATGTGATTTAGCCTGTTAACTCCAGGGTCTTTGCTGGAATTCAAGCCTTTCCTTGGTGACTGTGACAGGGGGAGAGAGTGAAGAGGTGAGCGAGGAAGAGTGCGAAGGAGAGAACGAAATAGTACAAGAGCCGGGGGAGGATGTGGAGCGCGAGGAAGAAGAAGGCGATGGTGATGGGGCGGGGCCGGGGACAGCGGAGGAGTTCTTAGACAAGCAGCACGAGTCCCACTTCAGCCTGGAGACCAACTTCCTGGCGGAAGGAGAGGAAGGGAGCTCGGAGGCTGCAGTCCCGGAGAATCGATCTGACGGTCAGTGAGAGCTGAGGGCGTGTAGACCCGGCTCAAGCAGCTGTTCTCCAGCATCTGAGAAGCACTACAAATTTTCACATTTAAAGCAGGTGGATTGTGATTGTTGATATAGAATACATCTGAATACATTTGTAGAATGATGTTCTATAGTATTGGATACTTTTTTTATTCAAAAATAAGTTTTCGAATTGTGTGGTCAACATTGACATCTTGCTGATGCTTCTTTTAAATATTGTAATGTATATTGCACAGACATGGCAGTCTTTACTTAAAACATTTTTAAATACTTTTTTGTTTTGCCTGAACAGATGCAAATAATTCATCTTGGTAATATCCATGTTCAATATAAGGGTAACTAGTGTGTAGGAATGGCAGCAGCACCTGAATTGTTGTCAACAACAACTTGAATTTTTAAGAACACAAGAAAGGTTTCAAAAAAGAAGGAAGTATTCTACCTCTCTAGATTTTTCAGTTGCTGGTATCTAAGGATGGTATCCTTAAATTTCACTTCCTGAAAGAAACCAGGATACTGGCTTGAAGAGCCTGACTGGTTAGTTTGTCTCTCTTCCCCCAGCAGACCCCTTTGTGCAGCACTTCGATACCGAGCTGACAGAGGAGGAGGTGAAGCTCATTTCTTCAGGGACTAAGACGAGGACCCAGGCCAAGGTAATGACCGTTTCAAATTCAAAATTAAAAAATGTCAAGGTTGAAGAGTTCAAAATGAATTTCAGGACACATGAGTGATATGGTGCAGATAGGTAATGCAAAGTATTCATTGAAGTCCCTATCTTACCCCTTCAAGGTAGGTAGGTTATTTTCATATCCATTGTTACAATGGCTTATCGGGCCACAGCTTATCCTGGTTACCTTGGCTTTAAGCGGATGAGGGAGTACGGGACTTCTCCCCAGGCATGGGACACCTGTCTAACAGAGCAACCCCCAGCAGTTCAGGTCCCCATTCATGCACCTAGGTGGACTGGAGCAATAGGGGTAACGTGCCTGACTCAAGTTACAACAACAGCGTCTGTAGCTGGGACTCGAACCCGCAACCTGCCAGTTCAAAGTCTTACCCATTACACTACACTGTTCCTCAAGAATGCTATAAAATGAGAAAGAATGTACATTATGTAAAATATTTAAATATTGTATTTTGACAACTTGTCTGGTATCTGTAGTGATGATTTCAGCTCCAGGTTCCTCTGGTTCATCATAGTATCCACTGAGAAGAGACAAAAGGTGTCTCAGATAAAAGAGACCATTTGCCAATCAGGGTTTGCTCCTGTTTGTCATTGAAGAGTTTTCTCAAAGTGCTGTCGTGTCAGTGTTCCCTGTGCAGTAATTCAGTAACTTCAATTTCTGCAGCTGTAGGTATGTGGAGGTTTTCTGCAGCTTTCCAAATTACAAGTCAGTTGTAATTAATTTTTATCTGTTAGTCCAGATTGATTTAATACATTTTCTACTTTAATCTGAAATTAAAGTCCTTAGTGGAGCCATTGATATTTGGGAAAAATCAGATCCATTCTATCGATTTTTAGTTCCGTGTCATTGAATTAAGTGTGCTGGGAACTAGATTCCCCATCAGGTGCGATATAGCTCAGATGACTATTCTTGTTCTATATAGCATAATATATGAATTTGTAAAACATGGATTGGCTTTCAGATATGTCTGCTACCTTGGCTGCATATGGTACTGTTTGTGCAGGCATGTACTCCTAATTCCATGTTAAATGGGTACAAATCGAAAAGGCATACGAGTGAGACATGACCAGTCATACAATTGTGGTTTCCTAGATTGCTGAAAGCTTCATTCAGAAGACTCAGGGAAATCTTAAAGACGGGACAAAACACCTCTGAAAAAGTTGCAGGTAGCTAGGTTGCCATGCTGTGTGAATTATCCCTATTCCTTTGCGGCTGGATGTTGACTGTGACCTTTGGCAGCTGCGATCTGGCACTAAACCAGACCGTGTATAGGAAAATTGCTTACATTACTCAGTGTGATGGATGTGTCTTTCTTACCTGCAGTACATCCTCATTATCTGATGATCAAGTATTACAGCTGTCAGAACAGGCAAGTCAGATTTAATGTCTGATTTATAAGACACCAAAGTACCAGAAAAACAACAAATGTACCATAAGGGGATTGACAAACAGCCTTGCCAAAGAGAGAACAAGCAATGAGCCATGCCTTGGTATTAAGGGGTGCCTAACATTGTGTGAAAGTGTACATCCAGGTAAATACTGAGCCTAAAATAACATGAGAGCCCCTGTCACCCACAAGATAGATCTCTTATGGTCAAGCAAGCCTGCATGGATCGGAGTTCTCCTTGGAGAGCTGGACGTACAACATGTGAAGTGTTTAGGGAAGAATAATACTGTATTTAGCTCTATTCAGAGTGTACCAAATTTCATCATAAGACATATGCTCTAAAATGTATATATATTTTTGTTTTTTTGTTTTTTTGCTTTTTCAAGGTGCTGTTTTGTGTATAATTTATTCAGAATTAATTAGAACAGGTTTTCTTATCAGATTGAATATTTTCAGCTTTTCTCTTGTATCTACATGTTGCTTTAGGCATCATACAAATTGTCAGTCTTATCTCCTGCCCCCCTCCCTGACCACTTCCTGCTGAGCCAGCACCACACAGGCTATTAAATTGAAGTTGGTCTGAGTTCTCACTTGGCTGATAAAACAACCAGGAGACTGACTAGGTGCAGCAGGGAAAAGGGGTGTTAATTTATAGCTTGATAGAGGGGATGAGGACTGATTCAATTAGTCATAATCCTCAGAGGTCATTGACAAGGTCAACCAAGTGAAATTCTTCAGCATCAGCAGTAAATCACCATCCTGAGGACATGGGTGGAAACTAAGTGGAAGTTAATTTATAACTGAGAACAGGAGGCACTTCTTTACACAAAGGATTGTGGGGTTATGGAACAAGGCTATCCAGCCATCTTGTTGAAGCCCACACCCTGGCTTATTTTTAAGAAACGACAGGACAAGATACTCGAATCCATAAGATACTAATTACTGAACAGGCTAGATGGGTCGAATGGCCCCCTCTTGTTTCTGACCTCATTTATTTGTGAATAAACTTGACAGGTTGGCTCAGAGTGAATGGGCACGCAGTGTGATTGGGTTCTTTGTCCTGTCTTGTTCCAGTGGCCAAGGCTGGGAACCCTGGTCTGCAGTTCTGGTCTGGAGAGGTATGGCTCTGTGGGCCTGCCTGGTGACTTTGGCTTGCCCCAGGCTCACCTCCACGGGTCCCTGGAGAGCAACTGGGCAGAAGTGAACAAGCCCTTCTTGCCATCGCAAGTTTCTTCAAGGGGCCTCAGCCCCCTTCAGCAGGAGCTCCTGGCCCTAATGGCCACTTACCGGGACGTGTACTTCCCAGAAAGCTCACATGTGAGCGAGGCTCCGGCGGTGCGCACTCTGTACTGCCTACACGCCCTGAACCACGTGCTCAAGGCCAACTCGCAGGTCCTCGCGCACAATGCCCAGCTGAAGGGCCAGCAGCCAGGCTCTGAGCTGCAGGAGGAGCCACGCGACCAGGGTCTCACGCGCCCGAAGGTGAGTGATGGGTAAATCCTCTCTGTCCGGGAGCAGCGTCTCTCCATTCGGGAGCGAGATCAGCAGATGTCTTTCACTGGTGTGTGATTTTATGGTGCCCTCCGCAAATTTAGGCGATAGAAGATCTCTTATTGTTTTTGAAAATCCCGCGGTTTGAAATTGGATGATTTTTTGTCGGATTTCTCCATGTGAAAAATGCACGTGACTAAAAACAGTTTGAAATCATAAAGTTTCAAAAATTAAAGTCAAACGCAATTATGATTTTATTCTTGTGCAAAACCGTGTCATATTTGGCCTTCTGTTATATTTTCTTGTAGAGCCCATATTTTTGCAGAGGTCTGAAAAAATGTACTATACTACAGCTTTAATGGGTTAATAATCCAGTGACTCACTTCCTTGCACATATTGCAAATAACATCACTTTGATGTTACATTTGTGATGACCATTTTGTGGTTTCACTGAGAGCCTTCATAGAGTATTATGATCAGGCTCTTGGATCATTGAATGACTACAAGTTGAGCAAGATGGTGACCATTGGTCTATTCTACTTTGCATCCTTTCTCAGCTTCTTATTTTTTTATTTGAGAAATTATGAGATTTCTATTAATGTTAATGGAAACAAAATTATTAGTGAATTTCATTATGACCGTGAAGAAGAGAGGGCAGTGCTACTCCCTAGCCTCTCTGTATGCTGTTTCCAAGGGTTTGATTAGTACTGTAACAGCTTTTAGCGCGCTGAGTGAGTTACCGTAGTGGCATTGCCCTCTTTGAATCGGTGTGGCTGAGTTATCCCCAGTCTGGGGAGTGACTGGGATCGTATAGCAGCAATGGGCAAGGAGAGATGCATTCATGGCATTTTACAGTCACAACACAAACAATTTTGATTTAAATCTTTTTGTCAAGTTTTTGAAAGGCTGTCCATTCCTAATTGTGCCTCTCACCCCCCTCCCCACTCTCTCTTTCCCTTCCAAGGTTCTGATCCTGGTGCCATTCCGGGATGGAGCTCTGCGCGTCGTTCAGATCCTCATCAGCTTGCTGGAGATGGCGGGAAAGAAGATGGACATCAGCAACAAGAAGAGGTTCAAGGACGAGTTTGGGTCGGACCCAAAAGACAGGCCCCCTAACCTCTCCAGACCGGATGACTATCACGCAGTCTTCTCCGGCAACGTCGATGACCACTTCAGGATCGGTGCGCCGGCTCTCACCTGTCCTTCCTGGGTCTTCTTGTCGCTGCTCTGATTTAATTAAACTGCCTTATTTAACCTTGAGCAATCTGCACTGTGGTGGCCCTGGCTTATTTGCGGCAGTGTTTAAATTAATAGTAAAAATGTTTGAATTGATGTCGTGCTCTCTGAGCAGAGGTTACTTTTACACTTGTTTGCAGTCAGATAAAGATACACAGATTGATGTAGTTCAGGTGGGTAGCTGCGTCAGCATGCGTAGGCTGCAAAGGAACAAGTAATAGCTTTTTTCCATGCTGAAAGGGAAGAAAGAAAACACAACATTTCAGACGTGGGGCCTTCTTCAATTGTGAGCCTCACACCTGACACACCCTCACACCTCACTCACAGGCCCCACAGCCGAAATGTTGTGTTTTCTTTCTTTCTTCTCTTCAGCATGGAATAAACCTATTACTTGTTCCTACAGAGATTGATGCCTGCATTTGATGCACTGGTGTCCTTTTTTCGAAGATTTAGTCTGTTTTTGGTGCTGTGACCCACCTCAGTAGGATTGCTGTGACGGCAAGACGCAAGCTTGCCGAGCTAACAGATGTCTAATGGTGGGGAATAAAGAGGCCTTCTCTATGTGCCTTGACAGCTGCATGTGATCCACTTTGGCCTGTCTGGTGTATGTGTTCTGCACTGTCCTTGCCTCCCTGCCCGTCATCACGCTCCTTCACTTTGCCCTGTCAGGCGTGGCCATCCTCAAGAAGAGCATGCGTCTGTATGCCCCCTTCTACTCCTCCGACATCATCATTGCGTCCCCGCTGGGCCTGCGCACTGTGCTGGGCGCCGAGGGAGAAGCCAAGAGAGACTTTGACTTCCTTTCCTCCATCGAGCTGTTAATCATTGATCAAGCCGATGTCTTCCTCATGCAGAACTGGGAGCATGTGCTGGTAGGACTGACGTTCCCGATTCTCTCTTGTGCTCCCTGAAGTGGCCAAAGAAATGTAACATATTTGCTGGAAGATATCTATGATTTTAGTGCATTGAGTGTACAGCAAATGACATTAGTTTGACAGTGTTGGGAGAGGACCCATGGGTCCTCTATAAAATAATCACACAAAAACCTAAGGTAGTGTGCTGCTTTTTGCACACTGATAAAATGCCATATATATTCTTAAAATTGTTAAAATCTAAGTTTAATTTAAACATTGAAAAATCATTTTCTTAAAACAAAACTACAGACGTTTTGTAGTATGATGTATATAAAGAATAGATTCAAAATAAAAGTGTTTATATTTAATGAATATCTAAATATAAGATGTCCTGAATTTGTTTTAAAAAGCATCTGAAGATCATGTCAGATATTTGATCAATTAAAGATTTAACTAGTTTTTGTCCAATTACCAGGGCTCTTGAAGCTCTATTCATAAGTAAATTGTCCTAGTTCCTCGATGCATGTAGTATGTCTGCTGGGTGTGTAACATCCCTCTCCTTGTGTGTGTGTGTGTTTCAGCACATAATGAAACACCTGAACCTGCAGCCTCATGACTCTCATGGGGTTGACTTCTCTCGAGTGCGGATGTTGAACCTCAACAACTGGGCACAGTACTACAGGCAGACCTTGATCTTTAGTGCCATACAGGACCCCCAGATCAACAACATCCTTACACAGTCCTGCTTCAACTACAGGGGTCAGGTCAGTTCAGTGGCACCTTCTGGGCACGCCAGGCTTGGGTCATCAGATGCTTCTGTCTGTTCATCCATCATCAGCTATCGCTGCTTATTCCTAGTATCTTCTACCGCAAGCCGGAGACTGTTCTGCAAGTGCAGGGTTTGGACACACGCGTACAGGGACAATGTAGAGAGACTAATCCTAGACATCATGTCTTGGGTGGGAGCAACCTGTATCACCCAAAACATGCTAACTCCTCACAGAAGGCAAGGCAGATCAGAACCCTAGCTGCTGTTCCATGCTGCTACCCGCTACACATTGCAGTCTTCCACAGTTCCCCTGGAAATCAGTTGCCATGTTTCCATCTCTCCAGTCCTGCTATATTCTGATTTGTCTTCTCTGTCTTGAAGTGCCTCTTCTGCGGTAGTGTGGGTTCAACTTTTACTTGTTCCTCAGAAACACACTAATTTCTTACAGCTGTTTCTTTTTAAGGTTTGTGGTTGTTCCTCAGGGATTGATCCCAGGACCCCAGAGCTTGTGAGCCAGCAATTCCACTGTATCACCATGCCACCCTCAGTTATATAAAAAAAAATGATACTATCAGTGTTGTTAATAGAAAGATCGCTGACTGACACTTCGCGGTAAATTAATCATTTGAAGCCACATCATGGCATTTAAAAAGAGATTAAATACACGTGTGAGCTAACCTTTTTATCTGTCTTCAGGTGGCGGTGAAGAATTTGCCTAAAACTGGGTCAATTTGCCAGGTGCTAGTGCAGCTGCCCCATGTGTTTCAGAGGCTGCATGCTGATAGCTTCATGGATCAGGATTCCAGGTCAGTCTGTTAGGGTTTTACCAACTTTATTCTGTCAGTGTGCAGTGCAGAGTTTTGAAAGCTAGGTGGCGCTACTTACCACTTATTTTTCATCCATAACCAGAAAACTTTCCTATCTGTCTGATTATTATTGTGAATTGATTGGTCAGCAACATGGATGTATCAGTATTGCCATGCAGCTCCTTATCCTGTGTTAAAAGTTCCTTTTATGAGATTCTTTTATTCACAAGGGATTGAAACACAAACATGTGAGAGGGTGGGTGTATTGAGCTCATTTTATTTCATGAAATGACTTCACCCTTTTTAGTTTGAAAGACTGAATGATGGTAAGTGTGACAGCTTTTATTGTAATTTTTGTATTTTATTTTCCTACAGAAATGTCAGATTCGTTTCTTTATCTTCTTTAATAAATCCCTAGGATCTAATTTAATATTGCTACTGTATTTATCTTCACTTATTCAAAATCTAAACATGAAAAGACTAATGTTTCCCATAGTTTGAGTGTGTGTCAGTATGTGGGGGTTGACAGTCTGGCTAAATCTGACCTGTGTTTCTACAGGTTTCAGTTCTTCGTTGACAAGATCCTGCCACAGTACCGGGATGCGGTGATGTCTCACACTCTCATCTACGTGCCCTCGTACTTTGACTATGTCCGTCTGCGCAACTTCCTGCGCAAAGAAGAGATCAACTTCACCAGCATCTGCGAGTATTCCAAGAAATCTGAGGTGTCTCGTGCAAGGCACTTCTTCCAAAAGGGAGAAAAGCAGTTCCTGCTCTTCACTGAGCGTTTCCATTTCTACAAAAGGTGAGCATGGGAGCTGCACACTTCTCTACGTAGATCTTGCATGATGAAGCCTTACTGGTAGTTTGCTTTTGCTTTTCTGTGAAAGCATAAATGACCCACTTTACAGCTGGGATCTCCAATCCTGGTCCAGGAGAGCATCAATCCAGTTATTCTTATAGGTCATCATGAACCAGAGGATCTTCAGCTCTGGTCCTCGAAAACCCCAATCATGGTACTATTATAGGTCATCCTGAACCAGGTCCAACCACAGCAATATGTCATGCTACAGTTTACAGCTCACTGACCTACAACAAAATTGATCTTGAAGAAACTCCAAATTCTGCTGTGAGGAAACCAATATAATTTTCTCTTAATAGACAAATAGACCAGAGGTAATAAACAAACAAACAACACTGGCACATCATCTTAATAATAAGTAAATTAAGCAATAGAGTATAACATTTAAGATTGGCATTGACAATTAATTGAATAGGTCAAATGCTGTTTTTAATAATAATGGGCTACACAGTCGCACAGTGGTTAGCATAGCTGTTCAGTTCCTTGGGTGCTTCTGTGTGGAGTTTGTATGTTCTCCCTGTGTGTTCATGTCGGATTCCTTTGGGTGCTCAAGTTTCCACCCACTGTTCAAAGAGTACTGGTTAATTTGCTTCTGTAAAAATTGGTCCTGGTGTGAGTGTGTGCGTGTTTTTGTCTGGGTGTGCCCTGCGATGGACTGGCGTCCCATCCAGGGTGTATCCTGCTTTGCACCAGTTACTTACCAGGATAGGCTCCAGTTCTCCTGCTACTCTGTATTGGATAAAATGGTTAGAAAATGGACAATAAAATAATTTATTGGATGCAAATTTAAAGATTACGTAAGTACAGTATTAAAGTAATGATGTATTTAAAAATTCAGTCTTTGCTTGAATATCTTTGGGAGCATTTGTTTTGGTGAAACCTTGGCAGTTTTTTCACTGTGAGAGTGGCAGTTCACTGTTACCTCCACCCACCTTTCTTTCTGCTAAAGAAAAGGAATTTCTCCCAAAGTATTGTCATTCTGTTGCAGCTGCCATTCAGTCTGTGCTTATCTGTGTCAGTAGGATTTTGTAGGCGTTTTTGTTGATCTCTAACATTAGAGAATATATTCTTGTCTTCATAAAGGCAGGAATACAAATACAACTTTTTATTTGAAACCAGTTTGATGTTTTACAAACCGATGACCTTCATACAGATAGCCCTGATTAAAGAAAAATGTATTCACTCCACAGATCATTGTATATAGTATTAACTAATATGAAATATATTAGATAATATTGTCCATATTGCTGCATCACAGAGTTATTTACTAGAAGGGAACTCATGGATGATATGGGGCTTCTGTCATAAATTGGATCAGATGAGAAGTGAGAATTTGCTTCAGTGGTTGAATAGGATTTGTGGTAGGCCAGATTCAAAGTTGTTGTTATTGTGTAAGTCAAGCACAGACTTTAGCCATGGTAAGCACCCTTACTTAACAGTGCTATGGATTGTTATAAACTGTAACGAACAGTTCTTTCCGGACCCTATGCGGACGACACAATCCGACGAAGTGGGGGAACACTGGGGAAACGTCATGCAGGAAAACGGGGCTGAAGACAGGGGGGCGTGTCCAAGGTGCGCTGGTGCACGGGGGAGGTGTGGCCGAGGCGAACAATCCAAGAGTAATCCTTAGGGAAAATCCAAAAACACACGAGAAAGTCCAAAACCAGGAGATCCATCAGAACAAGAATAAAAAACCACGAAGACCGGGTCGGAACCGGCGGACAGGGACAAGGAACAGGGGTTAAAACCTTAACGGGACCAGGCGCTTCCTGGTCCCGGACTCGCACGATATGGAAATCAGATGCAGAGCCCGGAAGAGCGTCAGCGCCTGGCTTTTAAGGTGGGCTGGGAATGGGGAGCAGGTGCATAGAATACAGTTTCACGTGAAAGGGCTGGAGCACCCTTAAGGAGGGGGGGACTATAATCGTGACATAAACCAAGTCATCTGGACTTCCTTTTCATCTGAAAGACTTCTCCTACAATTTTAAGAGGGACAATGGTTTGGAAATTCTGGTCCAGAGGCAAGAGCGCCACCTACAGGTCGACTAACGCCCCTTGCGGGAGCAAGCTGACCTTCCAGGAGCCCCCGACGCAGTTCTGACCAGGTCAAGACATGCTCACCTCCGAGATCAAATGTGATCAAAGGTGAAAGACCTGCTGTCTGGTCAATAAAAGTCTGACTTTCGCTTGGCTGGTGTTACAGTGTTACATCCCTACAGTTTTTAAAATATTTAGCCCCTCACACTATTCTGCAGTGGGAGCCTCGTTTCCCTCTTTGACGGGGCTGACATCTTTGAACAAGAAGTTCAGTTATTTTTTTTCTCGTTTGCTCCAGGTACACCATCAAAGGCATCCACAACCTGATCTTCTACGCGCTGCCCACCTACCCCCACTTCTACAGCGAAGTGTGCAACATGCTGAAGGCCTCGAGCGGCGGGGAGGAGGCCAGCTGGACCTGCACTGTGCTCTACTCCCGCTACGACACGCAGAGGTTGGCCATGGTGGCCGGGGCGGAGCGCGCCGCTCAGATGCTGCAGTCTAAGAAGTCTGTGCACTTGTTCATCACGGGGGGCGACGAAGCCCCTTGACCGGGGATGAGCAGAGAACAGCCGCCTCATCCATTCGTCTCCTGGGAACTTCAGCACAGGCAGGTTGCCCGTGACCAGAGAGCTGATACTTGTGGAATTGAAGTGCTCCGTGTCGCACAACTGCAGTGGTTTCTGATCTTTATGAAACCCAGAAGGATCAGAGCTGTTTTCCATCTTCTTCACTGCACACTTAGATGCTTAATTCCGTAAGGATTAAATTATGCTGAAAATTTTTTTTCTTTTAAGGCTTTTAAGGAGACCGTTTTGTTTCGCCGTATATAAAAACATTAAAACCTAAAAGACTTGTTGAATGGGCAAAAGAAATGACCATTAAACCAAAAATGTTCAAAACCTCCCTCTCCATTTGCACATCACCACAACATACAATAGACGTGCATACTTTCTTAAACCTGCCTCCAACGACACGTACAAACAGACCAGTTTCACAGCTCAGTTTCTAAGATGACTTAAGAAGGGTGTTCATTTATCTTAGTCAGGCATTGCACGATCAATGCCAATGAGTTTTCAGAGCCAGTGAGTTGATCTTTGTTGTGTATAGAGAGCTTCATAGCTAAAGTCGAGTCAGTGCTCGTGTGAGGGGAGCATGTTTAAACTGAAAAATGTGGGGTAAAGGAGGTTCTTTCATCGCACCTACAGACTATTCTTCCTTTCATAACTGTGGTTTATTATTAACAATCTAGACAATTTGTCACAATGTGCAACAAGTCATCAGTGAGGTGTTCCTATAACAGTGGAAAAGAGAAGCTTTCGTTTTTTTGTTTCTGGCTTGCCGAAACTCTCCAAAAAATCTTTTATTTAGTCTCGTACAAAAGATTTAAACTCATCCTTGTGATTTCATTGTGCCCTCTTAACATAACGCAGAGAAACTAAAAACAAATTAATAAAACTTGTATTCAAGACCCAAGAAAAGAAATACCTGCTCTTCAGCAGCAACAGTCACTCCTTGAGTTTAATGTAAGATCTGTCCCTTAGAGCCTGACCTCTAAACACCTGGCTGGGTGCCGTTATACTGGCCATAATGGGATTTACAAACTTGACAAATAAAGCACTTGAACCCTGAAGCTTCCGATCTAGGCAGACAGCTAATCCATAATGCAGTGCAATGTGCTCAGCTGAAACTGCAGGAGCTAATTTTAGCCACCAGAGATGGGAGGGCATTTGGGGCATATAGTGCCACAGATGTAATGAAGAAAAGGGTACTGCCATCATTATGGAAGAATTGCATTTATATCAGCACCAGAGCTTTCAAGAAATATTTACATATAGTACAGGTGCCTCCCAGTGTACCTAAATATTAGTGTAAAACTGAAAGCACGTGTAAAATGACATACTGAGTATTTGAAAAGTAGTGGAGTGTGCCTTTTCTGGGGTCACCAGTGTTTTCCTTGTTTTCCCATTCTATTTCGTACATTTTAATAATAAAACTAGTAAATAAGAGCATGGTATGAATAACAGCTTGGTTACTTCAGCATCAGGCCTGAGTTGCTTTTATGTGCATCAACACTGGTTGAAACTCGCTGGAACAAGCTGTCAAGAGGACACATTCCAGTATATAATTTGTAGTGTAAATCCTGCTTGAATACGTTTCAGATCTGTCCTCTCAACCTCTCAAAAGCTGAGGGAATGTTCCGGTGCAGCTTGAATGTCTTTACACAAAGAAACACTTACGTTGTACTCCAATACAGGGGGTGGGGGGAATTTCCAAAGGGTATTTGTAAATTCCAGAGGGTAAATGTTTTATATTAAAATCGAAGCAGAATAACTCTGAAATTGATATGTAAATACACCATTCCTCAATGATCAGTACTGTTATCTAGAGGAAATGCAAAAACACACTCACCCAGCACAGAAACATACAGTAAGCACCATTTTTACTGTAGCCTCTGTCAATGAAAATTGTGGCATCCATTTACATCAGAGTGGTCTTGCTGACAAGTGGGAGTCAATGAACAGCTCTGCGCAGGTCAATAATGTTGGCGTGGGCACTTAATTCCCATTCAGTCAGCACTCCTTCAAAGAAATCTGTTGGTCAGTAGAATCAATCATTGAGCCTTGTAGGAGCTTCTTTGTTAGTTATTGTAACAAGGTGTTGAGGCTTTAATCTGCAGTTATATATATAAAGTGTCATTTAATATTCCATAATTATGTCAAAAATGTCGTGCTGACCTTCACAAAAGGTATAAGTTGCTATAGCTATGTATATAAAGTATATATTGTGCTGTATAAACCACAGAGAGCTGCAGTTAAAAGTCTGCGTTTATACCTTAATTAAAACACAAGGCAGGTCGACTGTACTTTGAATGTCTGACCCCAGAGTGTAATCCCCAAAGCATTTATGGAAAAAAGGGATTTTAGGAAAAGGATTGTTATACGCATATGTAGCACACAGACTGTGATACCCACTTTACAGACCTTGCCACTGTAATTTCTTACCTACATCAGACATTGTCTCCCTTTTTCTTAATGTAAGTATTTTTTCTTTCCATTGCATCTCTGATTACAGTTATCTTTAAGTAGATCACTGAAAGAATGCACTCATTGCCCTATGGAAAGTCTCATAGATTCTGTTGGATCCCTAATCCCTGCAAAATATGGGCATTATGAGACTGCTATATGCATATTATTTACCGAATAGCCATTTCATGTAGAAAGCATATTTAAATTTGAATTTCCTTGCTTTAATACATTCTTCTATAATGTGATTCAGCTTTTTACTTAGGTACTGTAAAAGTTTTAGTGGCTGATGCCAGCATAGGGTTTTTGTTGTTACCAAAACATGCAGGAGTGCATATCCTTGTTTCACTGCTGAATGTGAAACAGTCTCCTGAGTTAACCCTCAAAGAGATTTATCCTGGCCTTACGTTGTTCCTGACCAGGAATATTCTGAGATCAAGAATAACTCTTGTTTCAGGTGCTTCTTCGGGTCTTTCTTCTCTTTTCTGCATGGAATAAACCTATTACTTGTTCCTTTGCAGCCTACGCATGCTGACGCAGCCATTCACCTGAAGTACTAAATATATGGTACCAGAGCACATTTTCTATTGCTGCAGTGTCAAAAAAAGTAAAAGTACATAGTTGAGGCTGAAGTGGCTAATATCCCATCCCAAACATGCAATGACCTTGGTTTCCCTTAATGTTATATAATTAGCCTTTTATTGATCATTTGCATTCCCCAAGCTACAGTTCATCATCAAATAATCATTATTTTATATAGTGGTTTTTCAAGCACTGCAGGGATTAGGCAGGGTCAAGGCATTTCCAGATCCATAGACTTTGTCACACTAAGCCAGCAGGAGGAGTAATGTGCTGTTAACTTCAGCCCATTCATCAAAGGGAGCATTTGAATTACTCTGTTTTTCAGGGTGGCCAGAATTTCCCCCCGTCTGCATTAATACCAAAATCAATATGCAAATTTCTTTTGAATATCCAAAACCTTTTCCGACTTGGAGGAAAGTGCTGTCTCTGTTGTTTTTCAGCTACCTGTAGGTGTCTAGTAAGTCAACAATCTATGACTGTGCTGTGTTTAAAGTGAATTACTAGATACGGTGATCATTTTAAGGCATTTGACTTCAAGTTAGTTTGCAACTTGAATCCCAATGTTAATCCTAACTGAATTTTCTGCTTGTAATAACAGACCATCTGACATTGATTTCTTTGTCTTTTTGTAACCTACATTGTTACACACAAAATATTAAATGATGAGTAGTGCAGATTAATTAATTAAGCACTATATTTATGGTTTAATTTGCTGTATATCATTCTAAAATGCAGCATAGATCTGTAATTTTCTTTGAGTACTATAATAATGAATGCAGTGCCTTTGGACATTGGATATTCAATCAAGGTAATTCAATCAAGATATGAGCCATTTGTTTACATTATTGTACAGATGTAAAGATCCCCAATGTTAATATTCTTTATCTTAAAATTGTCATGGATGCAGGGAATGTTTGACTAATTGATCTTCCTAAAACTGAGTCCACTGACCCCTGCTATCAGAGAACATACTCGAACCTTTACCAGGACATATCACGTAAACACACAGTGTGCTTTCCTTTTTCTTTGGTATTCTTCACAATTTCTCTTTCCTCTGCAGAGCTCTGTCTCTCTTTAATAATACAGCTCTGAAGTCTCGTTCCTGTGCAGAACTGTGACATACTGTCTCCTCTTTACTAATAAGGCTCTGAAGTCCTCATATCTCTGCACAACTGTGACACACTGGCTCTTCTTTACTGATGCAGCTCTGAAGTCCTCATTCCTGTGCAGAACTGACATGCTCACTGTCTCTTTAATAATACAGCTCTTAATTCCTTATTCCTCAGCAGAACTGTGAAACAATGTCTCGTCTTTACTGATACAGCTACTTTATGAAGTCTTCATTTCTCTGCGGAATTGTGACACACTATCTCATCTTCAAGAGAGAATTTCTCACCTAAAAACTGATAAATACCATTATCTCCTGGCCTCTGGTTTCTCCTGAATTCAAATGTTCCTGTAAATATGACTGTTATTATCAAAGAGGCAGTTATCCAGTACAGGAATTTGTATTTAGATTAGTTAGCACTGTTGGTTTTGTATGGCTGAACAATGATCTGGAAGTGTACAACATCTTTCTGTCACCTGCTCCCGAAACTCAAGAGAGCGCTTCCTGCGGAGGGGTCTGCAGGGGCTGCTGGGAGACAGAATCTCTTGGAGAAAACATCATTGTAATCAATTCAGTTGTTCAACTAAATTAGTCAATTAATCACCAATTAATGGACCTTTTGCTTACAGGTTTGCACCCTGCTTGTCTTTGACCACATTAAAAAAATGTTTTTTAGTCAGAGTAAAAAAAACCAACAATTTTTAGTTGTAACAAGACAGAATCCCAAAGTGTGAGGTGAACAGTTTTGTTTTGAAGGTTGGGTTTACTCTTTTCCACCTATCGTGAATCACATCACATTTGCTCATCAAGATGATATTGAAGATTGTTGCTATGGAAACAAAAGAGACGGCGACTCTTGCAGTGTCTATCGCACAGCCTTCTCAGTCTGGTAGCACTCTCTAGACTGAAGATGTTACCATTGGAAACCACCCGAGACCAACAAGCCTCAGTATATCCCCTCTGACCTTCCTATACTTCTCTACTGATCTTCACACAGTGGCTCTGAGGCTTTGATAACTATGCAGCACTTAATACAATTCAAATTTTCTGTTTCAATGAGACTTGTACCTTATTGGCCCACGTGGTGTTAGAAAGGTATTTTAGCAGGAGGCTACTGATTTCCTGCCACATATGAAATATTTGTTTGTTTGTTTTTTTGCAGAAAAATGTGTGTGTGTATATATAT